CAAAGTCCGCACATGAACTTAACTCAGAAAAAAAAGTCTGCACTCGACTACTGTAAAGTTAAAACAGAAAAGCTCAATTATTTATCCTTTTTATCATGTGTGCATCCTGGAAAAGTCTTTTTTCACTCAGTAAAATCTCTTTTTGATCTTTAATTGCAGCGCCACCATCAGGCCAATTGATTCCAAATCACTACAGACGTTTGAATGCAGATACAGATGACGGACATCACCAGGGGAGAAATACTCGTCCTCGTCCACACACACATTCAGTCACAGCAGCTGCACTCAGGCTCTAAATGGAAGAAAACAGCTGGATCTAATTCTTGCGCCTTCACTGGCTAACATGAGCAAATGAATGAGGCCTGATGGATGCGGCTGATCTAATTTAATCCTGAGTGGGTTCCTCAGACGCATTAACTGGAAGAAGAATCACAGAAGGAGCGCTTTCATTCCTGCGAGCGGCGGCGGCAGCGCACAGGCGGCGTCTGTCTGCCTCAGGCCGACCAGCCTCACAGACTGAGCGGCTCACAAGAAGCACCTCCTGAATCCTGGTGCATTTTGTGTCAACTATAATTTGACTCTGGCACAGAACCACAGATCATCTTAAAGTCAGATCTACTGTAAAGTAAGTCACACTGGTGCCTAAGAGAAAGTCAGGAAACTCTAATTCGCAGGACGGCGGTTTGTTCCGTGGTTTTGGACTGTACCTGTCCGATGAGCTGCACGATGAAGTCCACCACCAGCTTGGAGTCCTTGTTGAACATGCCCTGCCACAGCTTGTCCACCACCCGCTGAGTGAAGTAGAAGACGTTGTTGACCAGGATCTGGTAGCTTCCGCTGCTGCTGAGCGGCAGAGAGGCATCTTCGCCTGGAGGGAGACGGACGGCAAGAGAGAAGGTCAAACTCCTTAAAAGCAAAAAGGGGCTGCTGACAAAGTTTACACCAACAATTCATCACTTATTTATTGGTTGTTAAAAACTTCTCAGTGTTTTTAACCAATCGACAGTTGAAGCTGTGTCTGTATTCGAAGGACAAAAACATGTCGCCTTTGTCTAATGATTCTTGGAGAAATAAACCACAGCATGAAGCCTCGTAAAAATGCTGAAGGTGCTCGCAGTTCTATCTGCGTCAGACTGTGTTTTGCTGAGTCATGATGCAACCATTAGAGCTTCTCTCAGAGCCAAATGAGGAATCGGTGCAAGCTGTCCTGCAGCAAATTCATCCAGGCCATTTTCTGTCCTATCATCAGTTAAACTATAACCGACCGAACCCAAGTCCATTTTGTTTTCACTCTATGAGATCATCTAAGGGAAGAAGCCATTGAAAATCTGGGATTGATAAAAAAAATTTAGGTTTATGTTAATTTTAAATTCAAGAAATGTGTGTGGGAAAGAAAGTCCAGTTTGTCTGGTAGAGACTGTGTTGCATGAGACACGTGAGACTTTGCTCTGACCTAACAGGACGTCGGCGGCCAGCAGATGCTCCATGACTCCGTCCAAGATGTTCGACTGAAACTCCTTCTGCTGAGTTCTGGTCGATCGCTCCGGAGAGGCCTGGTGAACGGAAAAAGTCAAATCACACATTTACACATCCAGTATTATTATTATTATTATTATTGTTTGGTCCCTTTCCCTGCTGCAGAGGACAGTTAACTCAAATCTCAAACTCTGCAGCCATGCGAACACATTTCTCTTTAGTTCTGGTCAGTTTGTGGTTTGGTGACTCCGCCATCACCCCCTCACCTCCAGCAGAAGGTCGATGATGGGCGTCTGCTTGCTGGCCGGCGTCATGCACAGATTGTCCATGATCAGGACCCTCATGAAGTCGAAGACATATTTTTTGGCCGGGTGGTTGGTCAGGGACGTCTTGGAGCCCACGTTGCAGTATTCAGACTGGCTGCGGTTCATACCAGAGTCACCGGCGAAGGCCTTGAACTCCTCGATGGGAGAACCCGCTTCATCGTCCAAATCGGTGACCTGGGATGGATGGAGGGATGGAGAGAATAAAAGCAATAAAAATATAAATCTAGATGTGTCTTTATTCCCAGTTCTACAAAGCAAACTCTTTTCTCTGGATATGTAAGTTAGTGTGAGAGCATTTTGCAGAAGCACCAAAATATCTTTCAGTTCTGGGAAAAACTGCAGCGTTCTTCAATTTGTTCTTGAAACTGCAGCAGTGGAGATTGAAAAGAAATTCCAAAGGGGCGATAACTTCAGCTTTTTAAAGCCCCTTAAGAGAAAGTCAATATGTCTGAGGCGAGTTGTTGGAGATGGTGATCAATACGTGTGATTACTTTCACTGGTGATGAGATTTTTTGCCTTTAAACTCAAAGTTAGGCCCATTATCTCAGTCTGGGGATAAAGACTTCTCATGCATTGTAAATTAAGGATTTGACACAAGAGATTTGTGTAGAAAATAAATTATTCCTTTGTGGTCACAGGTTGTCGATTTCTTTCTGGCCTGGATGGATTCAGAGTAAGTAAAAAGGTTCAGACTCACCATCTCAGAGTAGGGCCTGATGTTGAAGGGGAAGACGGAGGCTGCCAGGGCGCAGAGGAACTCAGCGCCGTGCCACATCTGTGCCAGGTCGGGCACGTTGTGGTAAAGATACCTGAAGAACTGCATGAGAGTGACGGGGTACTCCCTGAGCCAGGAGCCTTCCTCCTCTGACTGCCACGGCTGGAGAGGAGAGACGCAAGAAACCAAATCAAGAGCCGACTTTAAACAAACATTCAAACTTCCCGTGCTAAAGCAGCTGAAGTGTTTGTTCGTAGTTCAAATCTCAGGCCGAGCAAAAAAAATAGATAAGTGGAACTCCCTCAGCAGCAGACTCTGCCACTATCGAGCGACTGCAGGAGCTGCCGTGAAGCTTCTCAGCAGCGAGCGCTGAGCGTCAGAGTGTGTGGATGAGGATGAAGACGACGTGTGTGCCAAATCAGTTTTGTTGGATTACCGAAGCTTAAAAAGGCCCCTTCAGAGAATCCAGGGATGATCCAGCACTTGTTACGAAGCACATAAAAAGGATGAGCACGAGAAACCTCACACGTTGGTGTTCTCCAAGATATAAACGTCCTGTGTGGGAGGGTTCAGAAATGATTTGTTGGATCTAATTAGCAAACTAAGCACTCAGAAGGTTTATGCTGAAAGAATTGTGACCTGAAGGAATGAACGAGTGAATCTCTGAGTGTACGGCGGCTTAACATTGTGAGATAATATTGTCATGTTGGTTTGAAAACTTTGGTTCCTACCAGGTTGAGCATGCTGCGGAGCATGGCCAGCAGCAGGAAGGCGGCCTCGGTGCACACGCTGTGGATGGAGCCCACCACTGACGCACTGGAGGCTGGGATGCCAAAGATGAACGTCCAGATGGAGTCCAGGTCGAACTGAGAGGACAAACACACAAACTGGGGTAATACACAGTCATGAAAACACGGTGTTTAATACTGGGAATTCTTTTTAATTGACACATGTTCTTTGCAAATCAATTCTTAGTTACTAGGGTAAAAAAGAAGGAAGAAGGTCGGGTGTACTAACATGTACCTGCAGGCTGTCCGGCAGCTCGGTGATGGGCTGCTGGAGGAAGAGAGCCATCAGCAGGAAGTAGAGCTCGGGCACGTTGGTGTGTTTGGGCAGCAGCGTCTGCATCACAGGGAATCCTGGGAAGTGGCAGGCGTCACGGTTGATCTCTCGCAGCGTGGAGCGTCCGCCGGCGCTGCGACCCACGTTGAAACCTAAAGAAGGCGGTGAGATAAATGAATGTCAGGAGAACAGCTACGGTGTTTGAAGATGAGGTTTTCTGCAGACGCCTTCTGGCTAAAGCAGCTACGGGCGGCTCTGGATACAGCCGGGGTACCTGGTTTTTGGTTTAACCAGGCAGGACGTGGTTAAAGTAATAACCCGGGACGGTAATCTGAGCTAATCAGACGGGAGGTGTCGGAAACTGAGCACTAACAAAATAACTGAAAGGCATAAAGATCAGGATTTGGTTGAGCAAGAAGACAAACTCCAAATAACACCAGTGGTGGGACAAAGTACATTTAACTACTGCACTTTTACAATACATTGCCTTACATGTTCACTTTTGATTGATATTTTTTTAATATTATATATTAAGTATTTAATCAACCAGGTGACAGCAGATCCTCCCTCGATGAGAGAAAAACAGAAAGAATGGAATGGAAGAGGCCAAACTCAGCCATCATGACGTAGTGGGGAACAGGCTACACTCTGCAAGTACTTTTAATTTTAATTTAGAAGTAGGTATACTTACATCTTAGGTACATTTTTACTTGAGCACATTTATTTGTACTTTTATTAAAGTAAATGTGTGAATACTGAAATACTTAACCACTGAATGAGATGAAGGGTTTTATACTCGTAGCATATTTGAACAAGCTTCAGCCACGAACGCTCTGTTGTGTCGTCACTAAGGGTTTCTCTAAGTTAAGGTCAATGGTTCTCTGGAGGTTGATGAGCTGATACTGGTTCAGTTGTTTGTCAAGAAGAAAAATAAATTCAGTAGAAGAATCGCGACAATGATTTTTTATCCATATGGTTGAATTTTGTAGAATTAGAGCATAAAAATGTCTGATAAGCAAAAATAAAAAATCGTTAGGAAGCAAAAGTTTTTTTTTTTTTGCTAAACTTAATGATTTTTCTTTCAACGTTAAAAAGACAGAAAACCATTGAGCTCAGAGGGACTATGACAGCAGCAGCAGCAGGAAGGGGTAAAAAAAGAAAACACGAACCCTTGGCCGTGCGGCGCACAAACTGCGCAGCTTTCTGTTTACTGAACGAGGGCCAACTCCGGTGGAAAGCGTTGGCAGAGTGAGGAGAGGCGTCTGCTGAGCCATGTTACAACATAAAGGTGTTTACACAACTTCACTGCATCCTTCTGACCTCCTCCCTCACGGGGGAGGGGAAGTCAATGCAGACGCTTAAAGAATTGAACTGTTTAGAATATTTAACAAGCGTCGTTAAATGTTAACTTGGGCACACGTCCTGCTAAGACAAACGTGTGCGATAACTGTGGCGATCCCGAAGACGCCGCGGGGCTCGTGCACTCACCGAGCACTGTGCCGATCTTATTGGTCAGGACGGAGTCGGTGTGGTCGAGCCAGCCGCCCCCACTGAGGCCCTCTTTGAAGCGGTTGAGGATGGACTGGTTGGAGAGCAGCACCACCAGGATCCACAGAGCTGCCGTCACCGTGCTCGAGTGAAGGTGTTCCTCCATGAACATCAGGAGCCAATCGAAGCCCATCGTCCGCACCAGCTCCTCACACGCCCTGCAGGGGGAGACAGAGAGCAGGAAGGGGGTGAACAGATGGGCCAGCAGCCACTGGCGCTTCTTAAAATACCGGTTTTTAATATTTATATGAATAAATAAATTCAACACCATTCTGTTATAACGTGCTGCGGATTTTGCCAAATGAAAAATGTTGACATGAGGTTGATCCACCGCTGGTTTGTGAGCTGCACGTTTAAAGTTCGTCAATTTGTCCTTCGCCATCTTGGTTTTTAGAAACCACAAATATTTGGAGGAGGGGTGGGTGGAGCCTGAATGATTGACGCCCCCAATGCGTACAGTGCTTTATCGTCTATTTGACTCTATGATTTAAAAAAATGTTGGTAAGGAACTTGTCGAGTCAGAATTAGAATAACGTCCGTCCATATCTTTATCCTCTACAGATCCAGGAAACTCGCCGCTAGACTTTGACATGAATTTTAATATTCTGTTGAAATGACTCCCCCAGGGAGTCTTGGTTTTTGGGGGGGACAATACTTTCAGGTTAAAGTCTTACTGGGCGTTGACGGTGCATTTCTCTTTGGTGGTGAAGAGCAGTCTGAGCAGGTTGTCCAACAGTCGGTTTCTCAGCAGAATGAGGTTTGCTGACAGCAGGCCGCCAAAATCATCGTCGTTACCTGGAGACACAAGGAGAATCACAGACTGAGTGAAGATTTGTTTCAACGAGCAAACATCAGATTCAAGTTGAGTTTTTTCAACCACATATAAACACGAGTCAGATTTGCCCTGAAACGTTTTAGATGGGATTTAACAAACATCTGCTGAACAACCTGAATTTGAAAACACGGATAAGATTCATCGTTACCTCCATCGATCTTCTCCTCGTTATTGATTTCCATGACGACAAACTTCTCACACACCGCAAACGTGGGAAGAGTCGAGGAGATGAACTGGCCGAACCTGTGAGTTGAAGAAGAGACGACGAGCACTCGTTTAATATTTGTGTTTTTGAAGTGACCTAGAACATGGCTACTACACGGACGTGTGTGTGTGTGTGCGTGTGCTCACCGCAGCAGGTCATATGGGTTGGGGAAGCCCTGCAGCAACAGACTGAGCACGTTGCTGATGGCGGCGACGGTGGGCTGCGACAGGGACGTGTCTCTCAGGGTCAACAGCAGCCTCGGGATCAGCTGAAACTCCCGCAGCAGTTTGGCATTTTTAGCCGCCTCGCTGCTCGATACACACGGCGAGCGGTACACACGGTTAGATTAGACACAGAAACACAGAGTAACGTGAAGAAATATTAAAACCACTTATGGTACTCGCCTGGATTCTGTCAGCAGTTCAATGAAATGCTCGAACAGAGACAGATGGAGCTCGTAGGGAGCGTGGAGCCAGACCTGTGGAGCAGAAGCATCAGACTGAGGCTGGATCCACAAAACTGGGTTTTTGTTTTAAAACACATCACTGTTCTGCTCTGGGCTTTAAATTTCACTTTTCTGAAACACATTCCCTTCATGAAGGAAGGAGCGGCTGGAATTCTGGCACAGAGTGACCTAGTATCTTGAAGAATACAGTAAAAAAAACATTTTCTCTTTGGTTTACAGCCCGTCATCATGTAGGTAATGGAATGAACTGGTACGATGGTTCAACATTCCCAGAATCCCTCACCTCGAAGTCACAGAGCAGGTCCTGGAAGGCGGTGGAGTTGGGAATGATGGAGGTTTCGTGGCCGCTGTCGACTGTTCCCACCAGAGAGAAGGTGAGGTGGAGGATGTGGCTGTTGAGGAGCGAGCGCTTCTTCTTCAGCAGCATGGCGAGCAGCTGCAGAGGAAGGACACGGTTTTTTTAATTTTTTTATAACCAAACTGATTTGTTTAGAAAATCTCCACAGAAAAAACTTTTCACGCAGAGAAACATCTGACCTGGTATCCTTGGATGCGCTCCATCTCCTTACTGGCCAACGGGTTGCTCTTTACAACACACACCAAAGCTTTGACCGCCGCGTACAGCCCCTCCACATCTGACGCCATGGCTACCAGGCCTAAGATGGCTGCCGCCCCACCCACATACTGTAGGTTGGTGGCCACGGGCTTGGGCACGAAGGCACGGACACCTTGTGGGTAATGATATGGAGAAGTGTGTTCACGTTCTATGAGGCTTTAAAGAAGCTTTAGACAAAAACTGAATTATTCCGTCATAGAAGGTAAAATAATGCCTCAGGGCTCGAAGATGAAATGGTGGTTTGTGTGTTCTGTGATGTGATGCTGGTCTATTGCACCCCGTCACCGCGGCGTCGTTTACCTAAATATCCAATGACAGCGGCTCCAATGGTCCGGGCCGGCCCGTTGAGGTGGCCGGCGGCGTTATGGATCAGCTTCACCGGAGTGGCGTTTTCATGAGAGGACACAGTGAGCTAGAAACAGACAGAGGGAGGGAGGGGTGAGGGGTCGGCATGAAAATCCAAAACCTCGCTCCTCTTTATGAAACTGTTTTTTCAGGGGAATCAGATTTGAATGTTGAAGCTGCAGTCTGAAATTTCTAAAAGGCTTTTATTTAACCGCTTTAAATGAAATATGAGATTAATGAGGAGCTTTATTCACTAATTATAACATGTTTGCCAATTTAGCAGGTAAAATAAACTGCAATATCAACTACCTAAATACGGCACTTATTTTAAATCTTAAAAACGTGAAGCTACTGACTGCTGCTATATTAAACCTCTCTCTTCCTGCCTGCTGGAAGAGAAAAGCCGCCTCTGCACTTCTTTGCTTCTGCTTCCCGTGAGTCGCCAGAGCAAAGCAGGCTGGGAAGTGCCAGGTGAGGGAGAGAGATAAGGACGGAGGAGGGACCTCGATTGAAGACCAACCACACTTTTGGTGGGATAGGATAATGGGAGGGTGTGTTATTAAATGTGAATGGTCATCCAGGCAAGTAGAGAGCAGATCTAATGTTGAAGAGGGAGTTTGATCTGAACACAGCAGTGCACAAACGTGTGTGTGTGTGTGTGTGTGTGTGTGTGTGCACTTACATTTAAAAATAGAAAGGGAGCAATAGAAACTTCCTCAGAGTCTTTTTAATGCGTATGAATTATTTAAGATATGAATCTTTCCGCTCTGAAAACTTTGCAATTTCTGTTAAAGTTGCTCAGTGAAAACATCGTCGCTCTCTGAACCGAGGCACAGAGATGTTTGTTTTCCTCCGTCAGTGACATCAGACAGACGTGATGAAAGATAAGAGAGTGAGCTCAACACTGCGGCCGCTGACGCTCCGCTCAGTCTGACTCCAGCCTTTCCCCCACAGGAAACTCTCTCAGTCACTTAAGGTTCAAACAGAGCAGGTGATCTCGGTGTCAAATGATTTGGGTGAACAGAGAAAATAAAAAAGAAAAGATAGAGAGTTTGAGAATTTAAGAATGAACTCACTTGTCAAGGAACCTTTTGGAAGCCTGTATAAAATATATAAATTTACATTCTGCATTTCAAAGACTGGTTTTCCATTTTTATAAATCACATTGTTTTGTTTGTAGAAATGTTCTGGTGGAAATTCCAAACTCCAGCCTACATGTCGCTTTCGGTTCATTCATCTCAGTCTCATGTTTTTTATTTTTTCAGCCTGCATGCTATTTTTTTTTTTTTGATAAAAAACCCCAAAGTTGCGTTTTGTCTAAAGCTGAACACGCGCTCTCTGTCGTTATCGTGCTCTTATACACAATCGCAGCACAGTCACAAATCAATTCCCTGAACTCAGCGTCTTGTTTCCTCATTGTGTCTGCACGAAAGTCAAAACCACAGTGAAAGTCAAAAAGAAAGAGGAAGAGAGAAAGAGAGAGAGAGAGAGAGAGACTGTAGCTTGTGGCTTTTTTTCTGCAAAGGAGCGAAACCAAAGTGCCCACATCTTTCAAGTCATCTGTGGGTCAGTGTATGCCAGCGTCACTCCTGTTAGCATTGTTAGCAGACAAACTCCCACTTCTAGATCGGAGAGTGACTTGAGAATCAGACCGAACGGCGTCAACACAGAAATCGTGAGCTTCTCTTTTCCATCGCAGAAGATTTTTCTTGTACAGTGTGAAATGGATCTGAACATTTTAAAGAGTGTGCTCAGCCGAATTCTTCACACGGAAACCTAAATAAAACTCACGGCGCTCACATGGGGACATTAAGAGCCGTGGTGCGTCTGACCTGTTTGGCGATGGCTTTGCTGTCCAGTTTGTTGTAGACTTTCCTGATCTTGGCCACAGTTAGCGTGGACACCGAGAGAGCGTAGAGACTAAAGGACACTTTCTCCTCCGGTACCAACGCCACCGGAGAGGCGGGGGCCACCTCTGTCTTAGAGTCTTTACCTGGAACAATAAAAAAAGAGAGATGGAAGATGAGAGAAGAGCGACACGTGATTTATCTTGACGCCACACTAAACAGTGAAGTCAGCGAGACCACTCACAGGGCAGGTAGACCGCCTGAAAGCTGCCCACGTAGTTGGGTCCCAGTTCGTAAATGGCAGCGACGCTGGTGGCAGGCAGGACCTCCTCCAGAAAGTGGCTGGGCCCCAGACGCCACACCAGGCTGGAGAGCTGGCGCTGGGCCGGCGGCGTCCCCACATACCCGTACACTGTGCTCAGCACAGGGGGGTTGGTGGAGCCCGAGCCGCCCGGTGCACTGTGGACGTAGTGAAGCTGGAGGAGAGAGAGAGGTCAATGATCCAGGTGAATGATTTCTCGCTTTCAGCCACAGAATCTGAATTATCCCAGAACAGGGAGCTGAGTTATTCCAGTTGAAATTCTGGATTTATTAGAAGAATAAATAGAAACAAGTAAAAGAAACATGTTTAACTGTGCTTAACAAATGAAAAAACTCAACAATCAGAGCAACACTGGTGCATGCACAGACGTCTGAGATACACGAGAGCGGGTTGTTGTTTCCTGTATCTTGACCTCAGCAGGAAATGAAGCTGTAGTTATCAGCGACACGGAGAGGAAGCTGAGACTTGTGGTCTGCCGTGCTGTTTCCTTGCTCCGCTCTGTGTGATCTCAGGGGAATCTGAAGTCGCTCAACCACAAACCACATCACTGCGGCGCGGCGCGGCTGCTGGTTAAAACCGAGATTACAGATTGTTTTTGTGAGTCTTTGTCGAAAATAGAGGTCAGTGCTTTTTATATTTGGGGCTTTTTATGAGCGAGTCCATCAAGAGAAGGCTGCGCAGCTACTGCAAAACACAGCTACTGCAAAACACAGCTACTGCAACAGACCACGTACTCGCCTACTAATGCAACGATCAGTAATTTATCACCACCCTACCCACAGATTTTAAAAACAAGTGCAATCAGTACATGGTGAGGGAATTACACAACCACCCACTGTAAGATATTCTATATGGAAGCCATCTTTAGAAATAGATTAAAGTAGATGTTAAGACTATGATCCAGCAACAGTGAGGTATCTACTCTAAATCCTCCCACATGAATAAATGAATCAATCATTTAAATCATTCATCAGACAAAAAAAAAAAAAAATCACATTTCCTGTTCCAGCTCCTGAAATATAAGGGTCTTGTTTCTTTTCTGCTTTTAATAACACTGAACTGAAGATCTTTGGTTTTTAACCAGTAAACAACTATGAAATCCATCACTTTACCTTGACAGTGTTGATGAGCTGGCCGTCGATGTACAGCGTGGCCATGCTGTTCTTCAGCATGCCTTTGCTCATGACCAGCACCAGGTGGTGCCACTGGCCCTCAGCGATCAACTCGCCGCAGCGGAAGCGAGCGCAGCAGGGCAGGATCTCATAGAAGGCGGCTTCTTCACTCGACTCATCCGCTGCTTGATGGAGGACGGAGACAGAAGTGAAAATATTACCTTGAGGTGACCAACGACGGTCAAATATGATAATAACTCTACATGTTCAACTGCAAAAGCAGGTTCAACAATTGACCATATGCCAGCTGTGTATGTGAGATTTACACGAAACATTTGAAAGGCTCAGATATTAAGTGTGAATGTGAACGTCACTCGCTGCAGCTCACACCTGTTGTTTACCCAGACTGTCATTCATGTGCTGTTGATTCTCAGTTATTACTTCTGTCTGAAAACCACACGATGCAACAAACAGAGCCGGTGAAGTGTTACTGCTTCTTACAGTAGGTCTGCAGCAGCTCCTCCTTGGTGGAGACGGTGAGCGAACGGTCCTTGGCGGACAGCACCACGGCCAGACAGACGTAGTGCTGCTCGGAGGAGGTGGCCCGGCGCACGACTGTCAGCAGCCGCACCGGGTGGGCGTGAGGCGCCACGCTGAAGCGCTCCACGCAGAACCAGGTGGAGTAGCTCAGGCCTGACGGGGGAGGGAACAAGCGCTCTCCTGAAGGATGAAGGAAGAGACGAGAGGAGGTAAGATTTTACTTCACGTTTGAAATGACCTGTTTGCTGACGGAATTTTTGGAAAGAAATATCGATCTGTGTAAGACAAGTGTAAAAACGCTTTTAAGACACTGGTGCTTACACCTAACTGCATTTCCATCAATCGCTGACGTGATGTTGTCATTCATTTATTGAGCGCTGCAGATATTGTTATTTATGGACACACTGAACGTTGACTCTTGTTTCGATGAACCGCCTGAACCCACTTGATGTGTGTGATGTACATTTGATTCATGCGTTCATTTTGTCTGATATCGTCATTTTCAATTTGCCTGATCGTTATTTATGATCCTGATGATTATGTTTGCTTTGCTCTGAGCTCTGTCGTGTCGTCTTATATCACCTCAGCTCCCATTTTATTTTTTTTGCAGTCATTCCTTATTCCTCTGGCATGTTGCAGCAGGTGTAGAACAAAAAGATTTAAACTCATCCTCCAGGGCAGAATTATCAAAAAGTGATGAAACTGTGGAGCCACATCAAAAGAAGCGACACAGCTTTAAACTGACACCAGTGTTGAATGAATGAGCCTCAGACTCACCGTGCCTCAGGATATGACCGTCACTCAACGGGTGACGTGACTGGACCAAAACTAAAATGATCCTGAAAACCATAATTCAGTGTGCGCTGGCACCGCTCCACCTTTTCTGAGCCAGAAGAGCGAGCAGACACAACAACGAGATAAACGCAAGCTCCCCGAGACCGTGGCATCATCTGTTGTTGGTGGAGCTGACCGAATATATACGAATACAAACGCTGCCACCTGACATCTGGAGCCAGAGTCTGCACCGAACAGGTGGGGTTCGAAACCTATACTGCAGCCGGCCACCAGGTGGCAATCGAGACTCTTTGGCTTCACTTTTGAACTCTTTTCAGTGCCAGATTTGTTTATGTCATCTTAACACAGACTGAGGAGCCGACTACAGACTGAGGAGC